TGGCACCCTGGCCTCAGACTTCCCAGCCTCCAGAACTGTGAAAAATGAATGTCCATGGTTTATAAGCCACTCTGTCTATGGTATTTTGTTACAGGAGCCTACGCAGACTAAGACATACCCGTGGCATAGTGGATGCCATGCCTAGAACTCTTAGTCCTTGCAGAGGCCCATGAAAGTGTTTTTCTTTTAAAATCAGAAGGAAATAAATTCACTTCTAGGTAGAAGAAAGAGCTTTAATATATAATGCTAATATATTTGTCTTTATATCAATGTAGTCACATATATCTTTCAATAGGTAGATATAGAGATATATAAGTGCTGTTTTGAATATAGAAAGTGGTCCGTGAAGGCAAAAGTGCCTAAAGCCCACAAGAGTCATGATATGTTCCTGCCTTGCACAGTGTACTTTCAGTATGAAAACATGAACATCTCTGATTTCAAGCATCATATTCTTTCAATTACTTTTGAGGACCAGGTCTTTAGATTTCCAGAGGATACATCTCAAATGGTAAGAGTCTCATATATCCTTGAAAGGCAGTAGAACAGGTTTATAGCTCAAGGACTCTCCCTGGCCACACCACAGATGCCATTCTGGGAAGCAGTTTATATTCAGAGTACTTTGCTCATTCACAAGCCACTGCTTCCACCCCCCAGATACTGATGACCAATATTTATAGACGGTGGGAGACCCTTTTGCATAAGCATCTCTGTTGAATCATAAAATCTTGGAACAGGATTTGGGCTTACTGAGCCCAGCCCTCCACCAACACAAGAGCACCTTTTTCACCACACAGCATTGGTCTGCACACGTCCCAACGTTGTCTGCACTTGAGAGTTTTCAAGAAGTTTCCTTTTGTGTTATTGTCTCTTGACCAGTCTTGATCCAGGTGTTTTCCTAGTATGGGAAAATGCAGGTACACAGGTTGCTGTAGATGTAGTAGGAGGCTCTCAGAATGCATGTGCCACTCTGCTGTGACTCAGTGACGGCAGGTGAGCTACACATTGTAGGTGGTACTCATTGCTGTCTCTTCATCTGCAGGGCCAAGTTCCAGGCCATCATTCACCACCTTGTGGAGGGTGCTGTAGTGTTGCTGACTTTGGTGGAAAGAATGCAGCTCTGAAGCAGCCTCCCAGGCAGCAAAACTGGGCATGGGAAAGGCATCTGGCCTCTTGTTTTCAAAAAAGCACTTCAGATTCCTCTCACTCAGCTTGTTGGCATACTCCAGAAATGTATTCTCCAACTGTTCCTTCTCCTTTTGTGCATATATCTTCCAGAAACTCAGCTGAAGGTAGCTAACTTTAGATCGGCAGCGAGCATAACACGTGGTGAGCAGAGAGAAGAAGGATGCTGAGCACATCAGGCACCATCCTAGAATCTTAGGGGGAAAGAAATATTGAGAACACACAAAATCACATCTGACAGAGCTGGGGCTGATCTGAGACATGTATATTTAACTATTATATTTATAGCTCATTGCCACATTTCATTTGAAATCATGCATCTTAATTTTTAAAGACTTTTTTTTAACAGTTAAAATAAAGTTAGAGTTTACATAATCTCTATCCATCTACTGAACATTACTGGTATACAAAGAAATAACCAGAAGGAAGGCAAACAGAAGAGAGCCAAGAGTATACATTACCCAAGCAGTGGATATATCAAGCTACCAAATAGTATTATCTATTACAGGAAAGAATTCTGAGCATGAGTAAATGGGATCATTTAAACAAATGATCAGCTCTTTATCCGTTTTTTTTTTTAAATAATGATTTATTTAAATTTAATTTATTATTATTATTATTTTAAATTTGCTGTAGAGCACATGTGTACTCATCAGAGAGACAGAAAGAGAGAAAGTGAGAGAGCAAGCCACCAGGTCTGGGGCTTGAATCACAGAAGCCACGTGGAAATCCAGCACCCCAACCACCATGCCACCTGCTGGCCCCTATCCAGGTGTTTTAAGTATTTTTAAATGCCTGTATATGACTAGCAACTGATTTTTCCCATGTGAATATTTTGCAGCAAGCAGCAGTCCCTCTGAGAAAAAGGTCATACTCACTATCTATGGTAAAAAGAGACAGACAATACAATAAGGATACTAAAGTTATAATAATTTAAAGCCTGCATAAAAGTGGAGAAAAAAAATAAGAGACCTTCCAAACCTTGAGGATTATTTTTCTGAGTTTTAGTAAAAACAAACAAACAAACAAAAAAACAGAAGCCAGCAGATGGTGTGAAGATTAAGATGGCTGGATCCCACATGGCTAAATGCATGACTTGAGTCTTGGACCTTGTAGTTTGAAAAATCACTCTGGGTAGGCGTGTGTATGTGTGTGTGTGTGTGTGTGTGTGTGTGTGTGTTTGTGTGTGTGTGTGTGCCAAAAGTCCTGAGAGGAGAATAAAGTAGAAGGTATTGCAACATGGCCATCCCCCAAGGGGTGCTTTTTCATTTTCTCTCTTTCTCTTTCTCTCCTCCTCTCTTTCTCGCTCTCTCTCTCTCTCTCTCTCTGGCAAGTGCACAAACCCTATAGCAAAACTAAAGAACAAAATTTAAAAACTCCACACTGAATACAAATGGTTCAGCTGTCTGTTTTTTTTCCCCTAAAATTTAAAAACAAAAGGCCAAATAACTTCTAAATCATTTTTATTAATATTTCTCATTTTGCTTTTCACAGTTGAAACTAATTTTATATTTGGACAATTAAAATATCTCTTTCAAAGTGTCTCTTGACATTTAGTTTAAATGACCTTTAGTATTTATCAGCAGATGGGTCTATCTGAAAATAGAAAAAAAAATTCTGCAAATTAACCCATTTGTACCATCAAAGAACCACAAATATGCTTCAAATCAGTGGATCCCAATTGTTGAGACATGGAGTTATTGGGAAGGGCTTCAGCTTCTACACAAATGCTGACTCTGAATTGGCACTATATAGATTTAAGTTCCAGCTTTCCCCTTACCATGGCTGTTCTCTGTGACTCAGTTTCCTCTGTGGGGTTACCCATTTCACAGAATAATTTGGAAGATCCAATGATGCTAAACATATGGCATTCAGTATTTGGTATTAGCAAAAGCTGCTATTCTCCAAATGTATATACTGACAATGGAAATAGCCACGCTCTATAGAAATAATAATTAAAATAATTTAAAGCCTACATAAAAGTGGCTTGTTCTAAACACAACTATGAATGGCCAGTCCTGGTGAAGCACCTTTGTGCTTTTACTTCCTGGGGTGCTGATATGCAGCAGTTGTTTTATTCAATTCTGAGAGCAGGAAATACAGACAAAGTTAGGAATCAGTGTACGGAGTCTTTTCATTGGCCTGGCCCAAAAAGGCAGGACATCTGGAAGCAGGAGCTTGTAGGTTCTAGGTGGGTTTAGAAATTCTTAGGTTAGTAATTGCTTAACTATCCAAGTCTTTGTCCAAAAGAGATTTGAAGGAGGTAGAAAAAAAATTTCTGAATTTAACCTAAATGTTGATAATGAGGCCTTGCTATTATCTGGTGATGCTAAGCCAGGGTCAGGATGTAAGGACCTGCCCACAATCACTAGACCAAACCAGTCTGTTGCAGCAAGAAAAATATTTGTAGACATGACTCTTCCAGGGCCCTTGAAAAGCATCTTAGAATAGGAAGAATAGTTAGAAATCTGTTTTCAGTGCACTTATGTAAAAGTATATTAACTCAGAGCTGTTTCTTCCCTTCATCATCTACCTTCCTCTTCCTCCACAGCTGGGCCTCTGTAAACCATTTCACCTCAGTACCTGAGCCAATTCTACTAAACTATTTGATCAGCTTCAGCTCCCCTTTCTCCTTTCGCATGATTGACCTGCGATCACCTATTTCCAAGCACCCAGTCTTCTTGTCTTTCCCCACAGTTCACAGTATCCAGAATCAAGCTAGAGCATGGTAGATTGTCCCAATTTGCATAAGTCTTCTCACCAACTTGAAATACCTACCATGTACCAGAAGCTTTATGTTTATCTATGTCCATTAGCTCCAAAACTAACTCTCCAAGGTAAGTGTTATTACCTTCAGCCATGAGAAAACAGGCTCAGAAACACTAGCTTTATTTCACATAACTAGTGAGTGGACGCATCAGGATTCAAACCCAAGCCCAGCCAGTGCCTTTCCACCATTGTATTCTACCTTCTTTAAGAATAGAGTCATCCAGCTGGGTTTCCTGTTTCTCTGCCTCACCCATAGATGTGTGTTCTTTTTCCACCTCAACCCACATGACCAACTCATTCTCAATCTGATGAAAAGTCAGCAGAATGTCAGGGTACCCAGCTTAAGCTGAGGCAGGATGTGTATGACTTCTTTGCCAGTGTTTAGGGAAGAAGAGCTCACCCAGTGATAAGTGTTTGGACTTGGCACTAACTGAATGCAGTCCAGTGCCTGAGGATATAAATCATAGATCATTGATTGTCATAACATTTATAATTAATACCTTCCTACATGAAAAGGTGAGAGACATTTGGGAGCCTGATAAGTTTTATCTAAGATGTGCTTTATACATTAAACAAAAGATTTTGTTTGGAAACAGTTATAAGATGAGCTCTGGAATATATAATTTTAATAGATTTTGCTTTGATGTATTGTTACAAAAGCAAAACTATGTTGATAAACTAAAATTACCTTATTTTCAGTGCATTATTCTAAAACAATAGCATTCCTGACAATTGTGGATATGTTTATCTACTCTTACAGCTTATTTTGGTTTGAGGAATGTAATTCCTACTGCTCTCAAATAGGAAGTCAGTCTTTTCCTAAGTCCAGGGCAAGGCTATACATCTGGATTCGTGTTCACGTACCTGGAGAGATAACAAGCTTCTTCCCAGTAAAGCTATTGTGTTGTCAGGAAAGTTGTGATGTATTTTTCCGTTTCTTTTTTTTTTTAAAGCAAAAATGCATCATGACTTTTCCAACAACCCAATATCATTTCTTAAGTAAAACAATGCCTTAATCTTGAATTTCTAAAGTAATATAAGAACTTGTTTAGCTGTATAACACAGAGTGTAAAACACTATCTCCCTATAAAGTATGGTCACTTTTCACAAAAAGCTATGTACAGACTGCTGATTTCCTGCTTTGTATGGAAAACTCTCAATCTAGAGAATATACATTTTTTTTGAGAGAGATACTTTTGCTATAGGGCGTGTGTGTTTACTGGAGAGACAGACAGAAAGCAAGAAATCCCCACTCCAGGGAAATGGCCATGCTGCAATCCCCTCTCTTCCATCCCAAAATCTCCTCTTGGGATTTTGAGTGCACATGCACATGCGCCCAGCATGAGTTTTAAGCCTCCAGGTCTGGGACTCAAACCACCATCGACTACATGGGAGTCCAGTGACATAGCCATTACGCCATCTGCTGATCCCGAGGAAATATTTTTTAAGAGAGCTTTTTTGGCCATAGGCGCGTGTGCTCACCAGACAGAGACAGAAAGCAAGAAACCACCATTCCAGAGGGATGGCCAGACCACATTCCTTTTCCTCCATTCTCCTCTCAGATTTTGGTCATGTATGCATATGCACCCAAAGTGAGCTTTAAGCTGCCAGGCTAAGATTCAAACTGCAATTGACTACATGGGATTCCAACAACATAACCATTATGCCATCTGCTGGGCCCAATCTTGAGAATATTTATATACAGAGAGCAGTTGCTGGAAATCACTCAAGGGAATATCTACATATAGTTATGTTACATGCAGCTTTGAAAAATATTATTCATTTAGTTGAGCTATATTCTAACAAATGAACACTATGTGAATGTGTTTCTGAGAAACGGGCTTAAAAATAAATAATTGATAGAAGGCAGTAATTTCTAATTACAGCTCTACCATCTACACTAAATTCGTGATTTTGTGTTATACATTATTTACAAAGTCAACCCAGATACTGTTTTAAAGCACTTAAGTGTTTACATATGCCTAACCCAGAGGGTATTTTCTTTTCATAAATGGCAAAGACATAATCCAATCAGCAATTTTACTTAGCCCGTTCAGCTTCTACAAAGCTTCTTCTGAAATAGTCTTAATGCTACACCACGTTCAATTTCCATTTAGTTTCAAAATGTCCTGGCATGACTCAAAGACAGTCTTGGCTGAAAGAAAAACAGAATAAAGCTCATGCTGGGGAAGAAGCTTGGTTTTGCCCTTCTTACCTGAGACTGAGCTTGGAGTGACAGTTTCAGTTCTTCATTGTCTGCGGATGGCATGCTAGTTTTGCCACAAGATACTTTATGAAGTTCTTCCCAGCATTCTTTAGGCTTACCCTTGCAAATGAGTCCTAGGAGTCTCGAACTTTTTGTCCCACTCATGGCACATTCATAAAAGGTTCCACTGAGCAAAGCCACAGAAAGCCACATCACTGGGGCCACCAATGAGCTCAGAGTGATCTGGCCGAGGACATAGAAGAAGCGGCGGCTGCGGCCTCTACGGAAGATTTTCCTCGGATTCACACAGCAGCCTGTGAAGAGTCTCCATGACCTGTTGTTCAGGAAGAATCCAAGGATCAGTAACATCCAGGCAGGAGCAAAAATAAAAACCAACCCATAGACCATGTTCTCAGCACTGCAGGGGCACTTGAAAGCCACTAGTGAAAAGAGGCGCTCGCTTCCCACGGTTAGCAGAGCCATGAAGCTGTAGCCAATAACAGTTTTCTGGTTAAGGAGGAATTTTAAGATGCCCTGAAAGACATCCATGTTGAAGGCACACAGAGAGGAAAAATGCTTTGCTCTTGTTATTGGCAACGCAGCCGTGGCAGTGGCCGAGGGTGGAGCTCTTTCTTCCCTAGAAACAACAGCCTTCCTTCTCCGGCTAAATTCAGCCAGATAAGGAAACAATGTCATTCCCTAGGAATGAACATTTCCCAACAGTGTTCAGATAATGCCTCCTGCTGGTAGACATTGGGCCATGAAACTGCAGCCTGAACGCTGAGAATTAAGAATAAATTCAAAGTGCACAGGCTGCATTTTCTTTTTTCTTTTTTTTCTTTTTTTCCATTTGGCTTGGATTGAAAATTGAAAAGAAATTTTCACTGCTGCTAATAATAATCCGTCAACTTTCCAGCAGAAGGAATCGGCATTAGCAGAAATGGGGTTTGGCCAATTGATTAGAAGCTAAATCGGATCTCTAAGCAGAGAGTTCATGATGGCTTTCTCTCTTGCAATGTGACTTAAGATTTGAGGACCAGAGTTCATGTTATATATCTTAAACTGACTAAAGTTAGAGAATTGAACCAAATTTTAGGATTTGGGGTATTTAAAATGTATATGAGAAAGTTTAGAGGGGGATTAAATTTCAAAGGAAACACAACAAAATGAGAAAGTCTACCATTCTTTTTTTAGGCTATTATAGTTACCTCTTGACTAGTATATCTGTCTTTGACCCCATGTCCACCCCAGCCCTAAATTCATCCTCCATGTGGACACGAAGAAGATTCTTTTAAACAAAAAATATGGTTCTAAATCAGCCTGTTCGTACCTGTGGGTCTTTTCACTGCCTACAAGTTGATAGAGACTTCCCTAAACTTCATCTTGGTATGTATGGTATTTCATGCCCTGCCTATAACATGTTTCTACCACCTAAAATGTCCCGTAAACTTTCCACCTGGCAAATACTCAATATCCATGTTTTCAGTGTCTAAACATGGCATCAAACAATCAAACACAGAATGTATGCTCATTCAACGATTTGTTTTGCAGATGGCTAATCAGCTCCATGTGTGAACCAGGGTGTTAGACAAGAGTGCTCAGTAGCTACCTACTGAATGAATACATGAAAGAACGAGTACAGAAACTCTTAGTACTTCTAATTATAAATAATTTCAGAAGATTATTTCCATTTCTCTCTTACAGTGCTACTAATTTAAAAAATTAGAGTATTAAGACACTTAAAAGATGACAGTTCGCCAAGCTGACACATTCCCATTAATAAACTTCAAAGTTCAGGCCTGTGTGTTCTGTGAAAAGAAAATTATCTCAGATAGCAGTCAAGGAATTAAGTTCTAGTTTGGCAACTGCTGTGTCATTTCATTTATGCAACATCAATTTACTCATTTGTGAAAGTAAGGGTTTAAAATAAATCGTCTCTGGGGCTATCCAGTGGTACGGTGGTTAAGGCACTGGACTTCTACATGGCTGACCACAGTTTGAGTCCTGGACCCGGTGGCTTGCTTTCTTCCTCCCCACCCACCCCTGCCCCACTTTCTCTGGTGAGTGTACGTGCCCTGTAGCAAATTAAAATATAAAGTAATAATGATAACAAATAAAATGAAATAAATCATTCTTTTTAAAAAAGTCTCCAAGGTTTTTTGACTGCTACAGTGTAAAAATCTTCAGGCCCTGTAAAGCAGTGGACTTTTTGAAAAATTATTTTATCACTCATTTATGTGCTTCCATCATGACCCCTTGTTCCTTCTCAGACATTTGTCTTCTGCAGAAATAGGATGCCTTCCACTTCATCACATCCTCAGGTCTACCTACCCATAGCATCCTCGGACCATGTTCTTACTATTGTGGCTGATGTTTTCTGAGTTCCTTCTAATTCAGAATTTACCCATTGCTAGGATCAATGTGAAAAATATTATGTTGATGTATTGATTATTAATCATATTTTAGGCTGACCTGTAGCTCAGTGGTTAAGGGAGCTGGTTCCTGCCTGGACAACTGTGATTAGAATCCCTGCCCCAGTGACTTAAATAACATGCCAGATGCATTTATGAGCATGCTCAAAATCCTACCAGGAAGGAGGAGTGGAGGGAAAAGTATGTGGCATGATGACACCCCACCAATGAGTGCTTTACTCTCTCTCTCTCGGGTGAGCACATGTGCCCTCTGGTGATAAAATAATTAATAATAGTAATAATACTTTGATTTCCCTCCTAAAAGATAGATATCCTTTTTCTTTTAAATGCTAGAGGGCCCATGAGTTCACAGAAGAGAGGAAGAGAGAGAGACAAAGAATAGAGAGAGATGAGAGAAACCCTTAATAGGGCCTGTTCAAACCCCAATCCTTTTTCTTGTAATGCTCTATTCCTTCATGATCCTGGCCATTCACATGCATATTCCTGGCATGTGAAAGTCACCACAGCAAGAACTTGAACCCTGGTTGGCCATGTGGGATCTGGTTTAATCACTTTTTTCTATGGGTCTAGCCCAGGATATATATTCTTTAAAAATATATTTTTTGAAAATAATCCCTCTCAGTTTTTCATAAATCATATTGTTTCCATAGAAAACTAGTACCTCAGGGAGTTCCATAAAAATAAAAAGATCTGAGACTTCCACATTGTAAAGTCAATAAATTGCAAAGCAAGTGTGAACCCAGACTTCCTGACTACAGACTCCACATGCAGGTGCAGTAACCAGGGTGCTAAAATGCCTATAGCAGGGTGTCTGGTTGTCCTACTTATAGACATTTGTTCTAGACCAAATTTTAGTAATTTTTTTTTCTTTCCATCAGGTTGCTTTCAAGATGTACTTGGGAATTACACCCAGTGTGACCTGCAACAATTCCAGCAGAAATGAATTTTCCCTGATTCTGGACAAGAATCCTCTAGTAGAGTTCGTGGAAGAGCTTCCCGCCGGGCGTTCTTCTCTATGCTACTGCAATTTACTCTGTGGGATCATCAGAGGTGCCCTGGAAATGGTAAAGCACAGTCTTTAGTTGGCTGGGTATATTAGTTAGCTAATACTGTGTAACATATTTCTCTAGGATGTAGCCCCTTCAAACAATAATTTATTAGCTCACACAGTTTCTGAGGATCTGGGTTGTGGCTCAGAGTCTTTCATAGCATAATATACACACAGTCAATCTGTTGGCCAACATTACAGACTCTGAAGACTTGACCAAGGCTGGGAAATCAACCTTCAAATTCACTCAAGGTGAATGCTTGCTTGCAGTTGGACAGAGGGTTCATGATGTTTCCTGACACACAGACTTTTTTGTAAATCAAACACAACATGGCAACTTGTGCTTCCAACCCATTGCATTGTCTAAGAACCTGAATAACAGGAGGTCTGGCTCGTTTTAGGCCTTTGGGGAGGCTGACTTGCACATCTGAATTATTCATTGGTTTAAATAAGACAATTATTAGCATCTGTCAATCACAGAGCAGGCAAAGATGAGCAAGACACAACTGCTGCCCTTGAAGAATCTTCTATCTAGTAGAAATGTCAAATGTGTAAAAATATGTGGTTCAGGGATAAGGAAGACCCTAGAGCAGTAAGATCCACCTAGAATTTTTAGGGAAACTCCAAACTAGTTTGAAAGAAAAATGGAAGTCAGGTGAAGGCCTTAGGTAAGAAGAGCAGGGGGAAATAATATTCCAAGTAGAAAGATCAGTATGTCCAAAGACACAAAAAGAGTATTTCCTTTAAGGAACAAGGAACTTGATTCAGTTAAGTAAGTATAACTGACATGTAGATTGAGAGAATAATTCTAACAAGAAAGGAAGTTTAAATTCTTTACTTCCTTTGCCCTGATAAAAGGTAAACCTGGGAATTTAGATTTTTATACGGAAAGAAACAGAGTTGATATATTGGGTTGTCGGAAAAGTCAGGACACACTTTTTGCATAGAAAAGTGCATTGAAATTTCTGTTTTAGGAATTTCGTCACTCACTTTGTCAACCAGATGAAAATATTCAAGAGGGAATACTGGAAGGAGGGAAGGGGAAGCTGGTGATAGTAATCCCAAGTAAAACCAAATAAAGCCCTGACAGTAGGAGTAGCGAGAAGACCAATTTAATCAACAGTAAGCAGGTAGAACCAATGAGACTGGATGATCTATTGGCCGAAAAGGACAAGATCGAGGCAAAGGTTCATGAATGGCTTTCTGGGTGTCTGAGCAATCTGTCATGAAGGCTGTACTAGTAACCAAGGCAGCAAAACCAGAAGGAGTTATTTGGGACTGGGAAATATGAAGTGAGGAGTTCAATTCTGAGCCTTCTAGGTTTTATGTTGTTGTTGTTGTTGGAGAGGTTTTCTGCTATAGGGCGCATGTGCTCACCAGACAGAGAGAGACATAGAGACAGAAAGCAAGACATCACCTCCCAGGGGGGATGGCCATGCTGCAATCCCTTCTCCTCCATTCTCCTCTTGGGATCTTGGGCACGCACGCACACACAGCCGGCATGAGTTTTAAGTCACCGGGTCCAGGAATTGAACAACGGTCAACTACATGAGAGTCCAGCGACATAGCCATTACGCTAACTGCTGATTCCAAGCCTTCTGGGTTTGAGGAGTCTAACACACATGTAAGTGAAGATAGCCAATAAGCAATTGTTTACACATGAGCTCACAGAGAGATGTGAACTAGAGGCATTGGATCTGGCAAAGGCTGACTTGGAAGAGTCTATAAAGCAAGAGGAAAAGGGAGTTACAGAAGCAAGCCCAGGAGGCAACAAAATATAATGAGTAGGTTAAACAGAGAACACGAAGGCTGAAAAAGATACTGAGAAAAAAATAATCTGATATAGGAAAAGTACCAGGAAAGAATGGAGTTCTAAAAACAAGAGTATTTCAAGGAGAAGGTATGATTAACAAGATCAAGTACAGCAGAGAGGCTGAGTAAAACAAAGTCCTGAAAAATATGCACAGCATTTAGGGATCAAAAAGATCAGGAAGGGCCTGGGTAAAAC